TTACCTCCTTTTCCTAAACAACTTTCGACTCCTATTACGGATGATGCGGTAAGGGGATATTTCGGATTACGTGTCATGGACATATTCAAAAATATAAACGTGTTAAAAGATACGTTAGTTGGGCACGCTTTGAAGAATGAAAATCAATATGAAGTATGGAAATCCACAAGGTACAGATGGGAGATTAAATACTTGCATGAATTTTATAAAAAGCATGCAAGGGCGACAAGGTAAGAAGGTTCTAATTGTTCAACTTCGGCGAATAGATAACTACCACACCGGCACAAGAGATCAAATTATGCCCTATCATTGACAGACAGACGCACAACCTGTGGGACAAAGATTAAAAATATTGTTTGTGATGGTGGACTGGATTTACAGACTTAAGGAAATCCAAGCTAACTTTGCAAAGCAATACAAGATTGATATCATATAAGTAGGTGTGGTGTGCAAAGAATTGAGCACTTAATTAATTGAGATGTACCGTTGAGGAGTCTTTCATGCCGTTACCAAAGTTCTATTACAATCTACAGTTTCGTAACCCAGGTACGATTACACATATTAAGATTGATTGGGAAAATCATTTTATATATTTCTTCATGGGATGGGGTTGTTCAACTAGGAGCTTCAAAGAGCATATTCATCTTGTTATATGTGTTGACAGTGATTTTTTAAAGTGCAAGTACTTAGGTACTTTATTTTTTATTTTTATTTTTTTGTAGCTGAAGACAGTAATAACCAGATATATCCATTACCATTCAGCGTCGGTGATAGGGAGAATGAAGCTTCTTGGCTGTGGTTCATGAAAAAAATATGTGACTGTATTGGTGAGGTTGAATCCTTGGCAGTGGTATTGGATTGGCATTCAGCTGTAGAGGACGGGTACGTACCATTTTCCCAAATGCACAACATGGATCTTACTACCACCACTTAAGGATGAACATCAAAACTAAGCACAGAAAAATTAAGGTAATGGAATCCTTGTATTGAAATACGACTAAGGCGTATCATATGTCTGATTTCAGAGCTACTATGGCAAATATTCTATTGGAGATGATTTCTAGTAATGATGAGCGGAAGCAAATAGGAACCAATGATCTAGCATTTAATAGGCTTAAAAAAATTTATACTTTTGATGAAAAGCTTTCAACCTTCGTAGATCTTCCAAGCTCTTCTCCGCTCCTCTTTGTATGGCAAGGTTCAATTCTCTCTTGATTTTGTTAAAGTTTGTTTTTAATAAATAGCTGATGTCATATTCTACAGGAAGTAGTTTAGTTGATTACCTATTCATTAGGAGAATTTCAACAGTAGAAGAGTTTGTTATTCATGGACTTAATGGTCCTATTTTTCTGATATGTACGTTGTTTACAATTCCTATTTAAGACTATATTCAGCTAATGAATAAGTGGTTATTTTCACCTTTCTAAGTCTTCAATATTTTCCTCTATTTTCCTTTCACAATTGGTATCAAAGCCACTTGAGTGAAACAGGTGACGTGCGAAAGACAGCAGTCAGAGAGCCGAAGCTCTTCTTTCCTCGTAATTGCAACAACAATCACATATAGCGTCTGAAAGTTTCGTGCAACCCACAATACCTTGCTTTGATGGTCATTATGACCATTGGAGTATGCTGATGGAAAACGTTTTTAGATCCAAAGAATACAAGAATCTTATAGAAGATGGTATTACTGAACCTGCAGCAAGAGAAGCATCGACAGAGGCACAAAGAAAGGCATTTGAAGACCAAAAGTTGAAGGATCTTAAAGCAAAGAACTACCTGTTTTCAGCAATTGATCGCTCGATTTTGGAGACTATTCTTCAGAAAGATACATCCAAACAGATTTGGGATCCCATGAAGAAAAAGTATCAAGGCACAATGAAGGTGAAATGACAATATCTTCAAGTACTCCGCAGAGATTTTAAGACTCTTCAAATGAAGCCAGGAGAATCTGTAGATGACTATTTCTTCATGACAATGGCGATAGCTAGTAAAATGAAGCTGCATGGTGAAAAGATAGAAGATGTCACACTAGTAGAAAAAAATCTTTGATTAATGACGGTGAAGTTCAATTACATCGTTTGTTCAATTGAGGAGTCCAACGATATTGATGAGCTTTCAATTGATGAATTGCATAGCTCCCTACTGATTCATGAGCAGAAAATCAAGAATCAAGATACCACATATGAAGAGCAAGCTTTACAAGCTACCACCCCTCAAGGTCGAGGATGGAACAGAGGCAGAGGCCGAGGACAAGGTAGAGGAGATAATTATTTTGACTTTTAGGGCAGAGGTCGAGGTTCCTTTAATCAAGTGCCAAAGTTTGATAAGTCAAAAATTAAATGCTTTCGCTGTGATAAGTATGGGCATTATCGCTCTAAATGTTACACTAACATGTCAAAAGCAAAAATAGAAAAGGCAAATTTTGCAGAGAAAAATGAGGAAGAAGCCACTATTTTAATGGTGTGTCAAAACATGGAAGAGCCAAATCAGAATTTGTGGTACCTGGACATTGGCTCTAACAATCACATGTGTGAAGACAAGACAATGTTCTCCTACTTAGATGAATCATACAAAACTATTGTGAGGTTTGGAGATAACTCCAAAGTTTATGTTATGGGAAAAAGGAACATCAAAATTCGTATAAAAAAATAACACCCTACATACCATCTCAGGTGTTTTCTATGTTCCAAAGTTGAAAAACAATCTTTATAGTCTAGGCTAGCTTCATGAGAAGGGTTATTCCATCATTATTAAAGAAGGAGCCTGTCAAATTCAAGATCAACAAAAAGGTCTAATTGCAAAGGCCTTCATGACAGCAAACAAGATGTTTCCTTTACACATCCAGAGTGATATTCAAACTTGTTTCTCTACAAGGGAGGATGATTCAACATGGCTATGGCATGCTCACTATGGTCATCTGAATTTCAGAGGTTTAAAGACACTTCATGATAGAAAGATGGTTGTTGGACTTCCTCAAATTAAATTCCCTAACAAAATTTGCGAAGAATGTGCGGTTGGCAAGCAACACCGAGAGTCTTTCCCAAAAGGAAAGGCATAGAGAGCTGGTAAACCACTGGAGTTGATCCATTCTGATATTTATGGACTGATCACTTCGGTATCTAATGGAAAAAAGAGATATTTTATTTCTTTTATTGATGACTTTAGCAGACAAACGTTGGTGTATTTTTAATAGGAAAAGTCAGAAGCTCTAGCAGCATTTAAAACATTTAAAGTCCTTGTTGAGAATGAAACAGGGTCAACAATTAAGATTCTTCAAAGTGATCAAGGTGGTGAATACAATTCAGAAGAATTTGTTAACTTTTGTGCCTTATATGGTATTAGGAAGCAGCTTACAACATCCTATACACTGCAAAGAATGGTGTGTCCAAAAGGAAGAATCATACCATTTTAAATATGGTTCGAAGCATGCTAGCCAATGAAAGAATTCCAAAGACTTTTTGGCTTGAAGCAGTTAATTGGAGTATTCATATTTTGAACAGAAGTCCTACATTTGCTGTCCAAACTCTGACACTGCTGAAGCTTGGAGTGGTCACAAACCTACTGTAGATCATTTTAGAATTTGTGGGTGTCTCGCTTATGCACATATTCCAGATCAGAAAGGAAAGAAGCTTGATGACAAGGGTGAAAGGTGTCTTTCTTGGTGTGAGTGAATCTTCCAAAGCTTACAAGTTATTTAATCCCATTACTAAGAAACTTGTTATTAGTCATGATGTTATTTTTTATAAAATAAAGTTGTGGAATTGGACTAATAACAATTTGGAGCAGCAACCCAATCATATTTTTGTAAGTTTTGATGAAGAAGAAAGCAGCTTAAATCTGGACATCTATAATAATCAACAGTTCGTCCTGAAGTTACATCTGAAATTTTAGCAGTTCCTCCTGAAATTACATCTGAAATTTCATCAAGGAAAGTCCAGCCATCAAGCTTGTCAAGTCCAAGGAGGAGAACAACTTGGATGATGGATCTATGTAAGTGGAGATGAATTATTTGATGAAGATACAATTGCTCATTTTGCTCTATTTGCGGAGAGTGATCCTATAGCATTTCACGATGCTATCAAAGAAGTAAAGTGGCAAAAGACTATGGACGAAGAGATTAATGCAATTGGAAGAAATCAGACTTGGGAGTTAATGAATCTTCCAAAGGGGCAAAAAGTGATCAGTTTCAAATGGGTCTACAAGACCAAATTAAATGAGAAGGGTGCAGTGGAGAAACATAAAGGACGTCTAGTGGCAAAAGGCTATAAGCAAGAATTCGGGGTTGATTACAAAGAAGTGTTTGCTCCGGTTGTAAGGCATGACACCATTCGGCTGGTTCTTTCTGTTGTGGCACGAAACTCATGGCCTATTTTTCAATTGGACGTGAAGTCAGCTTTTCTACATGGTGACTTACATGAGCATGTGTATGTTGAGCAACCTCTAGGTTATGTCAAAAAAGGAAATGAGAACAAGGTATACAAATTGAAAAAGGTGTTATATGGACTGAAACAAACGCCCAGAGCTTGGTACAGTTGCATAGTTTTATTTTCTGAGAGAAGGCTTTCAAAAATGTCTTTATGAGCATACTTTTTTTCGTAAAAACTGGAAATGGAGGGAAGATACTTCTAGTGTGCTTGTATGTGGATGATCTGATCTTTACAGGTAATGATCAGGACATGAATTCTGATTTTAAGAGATCAATGATGACAGAATTTGACATGATGGGATTAATGCACTATTGTTTTGGCATTGAAGTAATTCAATCACCTAGTGGCATGTTTATCACACAGAAGAAATATGTTGAAGAAATTCTGGATAGATTTCAGATAAAAGATTGCAACTTAGTTAACACCCCAACAGATCCTGGTGTGAAGCTCAAGAAGAATTCTGAAGGAAAGAAAGTGAATGCTACTCTCTATAAGTAGATTGGAGGGAGTTTGATGTATCTAACTACAACCAGGCTAGACATCATGCATGCAGTAAGTCTCATAAGCAGATATATGGAATGCCCAACGAAGCTTCATCTCTTTGCAGCAAAGAGAATTTTTCGATATTTGAAGGGAACAATTGATTTTGGCATGCTGTATAGAAAGAAAACAAGGTCAAGTATGTTTTTGGATTTATATGGCTTTACTGATAGTGACTATGCTGGTGATGTAGATGACAGAAAAAGCACATCTGGTTATGTGTTCACGATGGGGTCTGGAGCTATTTCATGGTCATCTAAAAAACAATCAATCATGACTTTGTCCACAACTGAAGCTAAATTCGTTGCTGCAACATTTTGTGCCTGTTAAGCAATTTGGCTAAGAAGATTACTTGAAGTATTGGGTTATGATCAAAAAAGGGCAACAACAGTTTATTGTGATAACATGTCTGCAATCAAACTCTCAAAAAATCATGTCTTTCATGGTTGAAGCAAGCATATAGATGTATGGTATCATTTTCTGCATGATCTCTACAAAGATGAGGTAATTGATGTGGTTTACTATAGAAGTGAAGACCAAATTGCAGATATTATGACAAAGCCTCTTAAGCCAGCAGTCTTTATGAAGCTTCGAAATTTGCTTGGAGTTTATTCAATGAAGGAAGTATGTGATGCACAAGTGCTGGAGTAGATATTTGTTTTCTAAACTGATCGATGTCTGAAGACATCCAGTTAAGGGAGGGTGTTAAAGGGTGCGTTTGGTTTGTTATTTTGGATAGGACTTTGGAAATAATATTGGGTAGTTGAGTAGGGTTATTATTACGAGAATAAGATTTGAATAATATGTGTTTGGTAGAGTATTTTGACCTTATTATTTGTGTTGAATATTTGATTGATATATTTTTTTAGAAATGATTTATTAATATAATATTTTGGTGCATTTTGTTAAAATAATGTATTATTATAACCTTAAAACTTATCAATTTGCATTTTAATAATATCAAACATTTTATTGGTAATTTCGTAACCAGTAAATATTAGAAAAAAAAAAAAACTCATATTAATTTCAAGTACTAATCCAACTATTTAAAAACACCACATTAATACATATATGACAAAGGTACTAATTATCAACCCTTACAATCGTTCTTACACGTATACTCCATTAACAACTACGACATGGTCATATGTGCTGCCCACAGTTCAGTCGTTATGTTATCCCATACAGTCGTCATGTTGTCTATAATACCTTGCTGCGATTGACTCGGTCTTTCTCTAATTCTGCCATCTTCTGAGCCGTTTTGGCGATCACAATATACTTGCTAATTACCCATATTTTCAGTATACCGTTCGAAGATAAGGTCCTCCATATTGTACATTCTGATAAAATTATGAAGTACACAACATGACATAACAATCTTCCCTTGTTTGTCCAACGGGTAATTGTTCATTCCATTCATAATACAGAACGGTCTTTTGAAAACACCAAAGGTTCTCTCGACAACATTACGGAGTGAAGCATGTCTGTAGTTAAACAACTCTTGTGGCCCCTTTCGGTTACGGCGGTGATCAGAAATATGGTAAGCCACTCACCTGTGAGGGGCGAGGAACCCCTCTCTATTTGGATAACCCGCATCAACCAAATAGTATTTCCCTATAATAAAATCAAACATGTTATTTGAATTCCAAGGCCTCAACAGTGGAGCAAATACGCTATAATACGTCAAGAAAATACTGTTACCTAGTGGAGGATGTGGGAATCCAGAATTAGGATCATCAAGAATTGAATTTAAAACTCTTGAATCATGCGCAGATCCTTCCCATCCAGTAACGACATAAGTGAACATCATCCTAAAGTCGCATACAGTCATTACATTTTGTGACAACGTTCCTTTGCGATTCCAGTACCTATCGCCAAATTCATATGGAACCGAAGCGTATACATGTGTGCCATCAATGGCTCCAATACAATCCTATCATCAAAATTGAATTTTAGTCATATTAACCGACTATCAACATTAATAACACAATGAACTTAACTATCCACTAATAGAAAACATAATGAAGAAGCACCTTAAAGAAAGGGTAATATTTTTGGCTAGTTGATATTTCCCATGGAACATCACTGAAGTTAGGTGGCCTGATAAACTTTGTCTTCAACTCACATATCGCCTCGCAAACTGCGCCAACATATCTAGAGATTGTCTCACCCGAATGTTGGAAATCCTCCATCATCGTTTTGATTGTCTCTTTTTACCAACGATTGTTAGAAATATCATAATTTGTTCTTCCAAACTCGTCCTCCTGGTTGGTTGCAATTTGCCTTGCTGTGCCAAAATGTAACATAAGTATGTAAAACAGTCTTTGTCCATGCGACACTTGTCAAAGATCCTGTCAGCATGACCATTGAGTACTTCCAATATGTACTCATGACCAATTAATATGGATGTATGTCGTAGTTGAAGCCCAGTTGTTTCTAACGCAGCAACACCACAGAGTGCAATGGTTATATCTGTCAGTATTTTTTCTTCCTCATCTTTACAAAATATTGCCAAATTCAGGCGACAATGGACAAGTGCTAGCCATCGAAGGTCTTGTGTTGACTATTAACTATTTCCTATTCTGCTTCACTTGTGGCCAACATTCTAATCGATGCATTGTAATTAACATTTTGTAAATAGTCCTCATACTCACCATTTTGTATATCCTCCAACCCATAGTAAGCATTTATGGTGGTTGGGTCGAATGCTACATCTACCCTCTAACTTGTGTCCTCCCATTTGTGTTGTCCAGAGCATTAGCATAAAATTCCATAACCATGGACTCCACAGGAGCCTCAAGCTTTTTGCAGAACTTTTCCCAACCCAAAGCTACTATTATGTCCCTTATCCCATGGAAATTAACCGTGACAAAATCCATCCCTAGTTCCTCAATAAACCCTCTCTTTCTCTTAGCTGCCTCCTCAAATCTTTCCTTGGCAGCACAAACCTCACATCTTCAACCTGTACCCTTTTGCCCTTATTCCTACTTCTTTCTCCCCCTTCTGTTTCCTTTCTCTTTGGAGTCATTCTCAACAATATAATACCACCAAATACCAAATGCAAACTTAATATTTTCAATCAAACTTCAAGCAAATCCAAGAAATATAATCCCACAACAATCTTCAACCTAAGTTCACCCAAATTTAACTTCAAACACTAAGATAAAATTCCCACAATCAGCCTATTCGACCAAACTTCACAAGCAATCACAAAAATTAGTTTCTTTTACGCAATAGAGCACTTACTTGTTGAGTATGAAGCCAATTGTCCCTTTGATGAAGAAAATGAACTCCAATTTGAAAGGCCCTAATTTTTAAGAACCCTAACATTGTAATTAATGATGAAATCCGAAGTCCTTAGTAATTCCTGCAAATTGTGACTTGGAAAAGATATTAGGTATAGATTGTTGAAAATGTGGAAGAAATTTGAATAAAAATGGAGAATGGATGAGAGATTTGAGAGAGTTTGAGAGAAAGAGAAGTTAGGTTTGATGAAAAATTGAATGATATTTGATTTTAAGTGAAAAAAATTTCAAAATCGTAGGTGGGCCGCGGTAAGAAACTTTTCATGCTGCAGCACCAATTTAATTTTTTTTGCCCAGGTTTGCCCTTCCAAACCAAGAACGCCATGCCGCGACGCTAGTTATTTCATGCTGCGACATGTGTTTAGCACTTTACAACCCAAGAGCAGTATGTCGCGGCGCCAACGCCAGCTTTTTCATGCCGCGGCATACACAAAACTTGGAAAATTCAAGTAAACCCAGAAGCAGCTCGCCGCGACGCCAGTTTTTTTATGCCGCAACATGCTCTAGAAAATATAAAGCATACCTAAAAACTATACGAACAAGACTCAATATAAACAAGAATTGAACAAAAATTAATATTACAATGCATCATCCACCCCCAACCTAAATTGGGCAATGTCCTAATTGCTTTATTAGTCCAAACAAAACTAAAAAGAAAAGCGAAAGCAAACTCGACATCAATGGGTTGCCTCCAATGTAGCGCTTGGTTTAACTTCCTCAGCCCGAAGTCGTCCTTTTCTTAACTGTCCATGTCCGTCGGCTAATAGAGAGGGATTTCATCCATTTTGTCCACGAATGGCTCATAGTATGGTTTTAAGCGATGACCATACATCTTCAATTCTTTCCCAGTCTTCATTGCACCATTAGGAAAAAAATTAGTAACCACAAAAGGATCAACCTAACAGGAACACAATTTACCTGAAAATAATTTAGGCATGAATGGAGTATAAGGACTTTTTGTCCAATTACAAATGCTTCAGTTGGATCATCTTATCGTGGAAAGCCTTGGTTTTATCCTTATAGAGATGTGAACTTTCATAAACCTCATTCCTTATCTCCTCTAGCTCATTCAATTGTAACTTCCGATGTTCTCCCTCTGGTGTCCAACTCCATATTCCACTATTTAATCTCCCAAAAAGCCTTGTGCTCTAACTCAACGGGAAGGTGACACAGTTCACCGTAAACCATTCAAAATGAAGACATGCCAATGGGTGTCTTGTAGGCTGTTCTATACGCCCATAGAGCATCATCAAGTCACAAACTTCAATCCTTCCGATTCGGGTTAACAGTCTTTTCTAAGATCGAGTTGATCTCTCGATTGGAGACTTCAACTTGTCTACTCGTTTGCAAATGATACGGTGTAGAGATCTTATGAGTAATATTATACTTCTTCAAGAGCGACCAAATCAACAGATGCAGAAGTGAGTCCTCCTATCATTAATAATAGCCTTTGGTGTTCTAAACCACATAAATATGTTAGATTTAACAAAATCTACAACCGCCTTAGAATCATTAGTCCGAGTGGTTTTTGCTTTCACCCATTTCGAAACATAATCCACGACGAGTAAGATATAGAAATAACCATGAGAAGAAGGAAATGAGGTGTCTCATGAAATCAATACCCCAAACATAGAATATTTCAACAAAGAGAATTGGGTTTTGAGGCATTTGATTTCTAAGGCCTAAGTTACCTGAACGTTGACAACGATCACATGCTTTACATAAGAGGTAACCATCCTTGAATAACGTAGGCCAATAAAAACAGCTCTTGAGAACTTTGACAGCTATCCATTTTGCTTCAAAGGTCCCCCACATGCATAACAATGAAAAAAAAAGTTAGAATCAAAATAAATTCATATTCTGGTACACGCTTTCTTATTAATTGGTCGGGGCAATGTTTCCAGAGATACGGATCATCCCATGCATATTGTTTGGTAATCTTCTTTAGTTTATCATTACTTGCACGAGAGGTGTCTTGCGAAATTCTTTTAGTAACCAAGTAGTTCACTATGTCCACATACCAAGGTCTCAAAGACATTATTGCAAGTAGTTGCTCATCTGAAAAATCTTCTTTTAAAGGAAGAACTTCCTCTTAACTTATTAATCTACTAAGATGATCCGTAACCACATTCTCACTTCCTCTCTTGTCTTTGATCTCAAGGTCGAACTCTTGTAGGAAAGGAATCCACCTTATGAGTCTTGGTTTAACATCCTTCTTCTTAAGCAACTACCTAAGAGCTACATGGTTGAAAAATTTAATGACTTTAGTGCCAATTAAGTATGATCTAAATTTCTCTAAAGCAAATATAACTGCCAAAAGTTCTTTCTCATTTGTAGAATAATTGA